CTCTGCCTCATCAATTAGTTGCCTTTGAATCAATCTGAAAAGGAGCCTTGCTTTCTTTTTCCAAAGCACATGACTACATCGAACTGAAGTAGTCATCAGTTGCCACTTGATTCTAGTACTCACAACTTCGTTCAATGATCGGATGTTTGGATGATCGAACGTTTCAGTTGGAGGAGTATGTTTAGGTAATTTTAAAATATGGGCGTAATTTTTACTCTAAAAAAACCCCAGGTACACTATTCAATTTTTACAAATTCCATGTGCATAAGCTAATGAAGTTGAAGGGAAGCGGTTCGGCATTGTTTTACCTCTTATACAGCTCATGGATTGAGTTTTTGCAGAGAGGACATGGCATAGCATAGCCTATGGAACAATTTAATTTCATTATCTACTGAGATGTAGTCTTATGGAGATGAGGCAATTTGGGAGCAACTTATTGTGGGTCATGTAGGTATATTAGGTATATTGGGGGAGAGAGAGTGAGATAATTTGACCCATAAAAATATAAGAAAATATGATCGGAACTGTCTAATGGTGGTTATTTAACTTCTTTATTATTTAATGAGATAATGAGATGCAGTGTTATGGATATGGGAATAACTTATTATAAGTTGTGTATGTATACAAAGAGTGAGAGAGAGAATCGTGCTATGGATATGGGAATAACTTATTATAAGTTGTGTACGTATACAAAGAGAGAGAGAGAATCATAATTTGGCTTAGAAAAATATAAAATGATATGATTGGAACCGCCTAATTTATTTGTTATATTATTGATAACTTATTCTCAAAAAATACTTTTTATTGGCTATGTATTACTAGGGAATCATCGATTTATTGTATGAATGACTAAGCTGTATTAACAACAAATAGCCAAAACCTGGTTTTGCATCTTCATGGTGCCAAATAGGGTACTTTTCGATTTTTATCTTCATGGTGCCAAACCGGGTATATTTCACATACTAGGCTCTTTCAGCAGCCAGCCAAACAACATTGTTATCAAAATCAGCTTTTACATGTACTAGAATCTGCAAAACTAGGTATTGCGAGAAACCCAGGATTTGTGTATCCTGGGATCCAAACGACCCATTAGGGTGTGGGTGATCGATGAACTTTTTGGGAGTAGAAAGTCTTAGGGACCGTTTGGATGCCTAGAAATATATTGTTTGTGACATATATTATGGGCGTAATACATTATTGCGTAATACATTACTTGTAAATAGATTGTCACTATTTGAGTAGTATTTAGATGCAACTTGAGAAATACATTGCTACTGTTTGGCTATGTATGGAAGAAATATGAAAAATACATTACCATCCAAATATGACAAATATGGCTATGTTTGGTTAACATGATTAGACTTTGGTTTCAACATGATAAGTCATTGAAATAATATGATTGGAATAACATGATTTTGTTGTGATAAGCTTTATTTTTATTTATTTTTTATAGAAGCCTTTCAAATATCTCTCTATATATAATTTCAAATACGCAATAAATTTATGATATCAAAATCAAAATCTTTATGGTACAAGTTAAGAAATTGGAAGAAGTTATATTAATAAACTAGAAGGTTTGGTAATTGCAGTAGAAAAATTTGAAGCATTAGAAGAAGCTAAATATGTATCTTATTCCAATTGAGTTTTTACTAACCTCTTATGATGATTATTTGTGTGAATTTTTTTATTATGATTGTGTTATATAATTTCCCATCAATTATCAATTATTATTATTATTAATATTTTTTTTTTATATGAGAGTTGATGGCGAGCTACAACCTAAATTGGAGATAGTGGGATGTATAAAAGTTTTTATTATGATTGCAGTAGAAAATTGTTCCTCATCAAGTTATACAGTTGTTCAAATCAATTTATATTTCTCCAAACTTTCACTTACTAATTCTTAAAAAATTTTGTTTTTACATGAGAGTCAGATGAGGGCTACAACCAAATTGGGAATAGAGGGATGTAGATATTTTTTATTATGAATGCAGTAGAAAATTATCCTCGTACATCTGTTTAAATCAATTTAGATTCCCTTACATATCCCCTACTTTCACTTTATATTTACTTTACATATCCCCTACTTTCACTTTATATTTACTTTAAGCGGAGATAGGACAGAAAGACCCAAGCGAAAATTTACAAAGATTTCCAAAATTACTCATCAACCTGCTAATAGATTTTTTGAAAAATTTACAAAGATTTACAAATATTACCATCAACCTGTTAATAGATTTTTCGGCCCTTACTGTATGTAATGGATTTTGGATACACGAAAGAAGATTTTCAAAGATTACTCGTCAACCTGTTAATAGATTTTTCACCCTTCAGCGGTTAATGGATTTAGTAATTTTTGGAAAAATCTAGGAACCCTGTGATTTTTGGGAAAATCTAGATACCCTTTACTGATTAATAGATTTCGTGATTTTTGAGAAAAATCTAGATAATGTCAGATAATATCTTTCCATTTCCTTATTATTAGAGTGTACCCAAATAATGTAAATGTCATATTTTCTTGTAATCTATTAAGTTTCACATACTCAAACCGCCACTTAAAGTTGGACCAAATCAGAGCCCCACGTTCGATAGGAACCTGTCATCCTTTTCAACAGAAAATGGAACTTGGGCGATTTTATTTTTTTTAAAAGGAAATTTATCATACTGCCTAAACTATATGGTCTATTTATTTTATCCATTTATGACTAAATCACGTTGTTTTTAGTATTTTGAAATTAAACCAAAAGATATTTGTATAGTGTTTGCGTTCTCTTATGATTTTGATAGATTTTTATTTTTTATTTTTTGGGTAGTTCAATGGAAATACAGCCCTATTAAAATTGTTAGTAGTTTTTTAAGGTGATATGTGAGAATAGAAGTACACGGTAAGAATGGGACTCTAAATGTCACATTGCGGTGCCTTGTTCGCATCGATGGCTTCTTCCTAGAGCCTATTCGCATTTTTAGCTACTTCCATTGGAAATACCACAAGCTCAGATGGTTAAATGCTTTGGATATTATGCTTTCGTGGGAGTATATTGTACACTTATTCTCCTAAACATAAAGCTTATTTGGGAAGATTTTTCTTTTACTTGAAATTTTGAGAATCGCCTAAAAATTACGAGATGTTTTAAAAAAAACATTTTAATTTTAAGTTTTCTAACATTTAGATCTCACAATTAAAAAATTAGACACTTTCCATTCAATCTTGAGGCATTAGTTTTTTCCAGCCTATAGAGAATGCCACTTGGAAATATATTTTTATTACATTTAATATGAGAGTTGGAGAGGTTAACATTCCGAAATGTTGGGTACTTAAAGTACTCCTAGATGGGGTTTTAGTATGCTCCCTAGGGAGCACGAAATATTTCATCTTACTTGTGCGGGTTTAATATCTCAACTCATTACTGTCGCTCACTCTGCCCTACTTGAGAAATGCTAATGGAAAATGAGTATTTTATAATCCCCAAAATGAAAAAATAAATTTTTTTCGTTATGTTACAACAATAAAAAGGAAATAGGAAAACCACATTTATTTTTGAAAAAATAAAAGTTGTCAATATTGTAAATTTTTTACTCACGTCTCACTTTTTTAATACCACAATAAACTATTTTAATTTTATTTTATTTTTCGATAAATAGGATTAAACTCAAGTTTGGGGTGTCGGTATTTCACGTACCTATAAAAAATACAAGATATACATCTGAAATATTAAAATAACCAAAATACCTCCGAAATTGTTGGAATATTTTGGCCATTTTGCATACTAAATAATTTCTTATATTTATAGATGCATAATTGAGAGAAGTATGAATGTCCTAAAATTAAGCTTAATTTGATATATTGAAAAACTTAAATAAGATATGTGCTCCTAAAAAGTGGAACTTGAGTGTAAAATATGAAATAATTTTTAAATTTTGATAATAAAATAAAAATTTTCAACATCTCATTAGAAAAAGGTAAATTTATCGGACTAAAGATTTGAATTATTCAACAATTTTTTCTATACTTTTTGAACTAATTTTAAATATCCCATAAGTCTCTTGATCAAATTTCAAATTGCACTCCTCAAAATGGGGCTTTAAAATTTGTGAAGAACACCTTGATAAAATGTCAAATAGCCTCAATTTCTAGTTGCAATTTGATAAATCTCCATTAAAAAAAAAAAAAGTCCCTGAATGAATCCAAACTGGCCCTAATATTGCCAGCTAGGTTTTGGTGGACTTGAAAAACACGAGTGAGAAGTTGAGGAGTATTAGCCCCCTTAATGCGTGAGGATGATATTCTCCCGATCAGAACAACATGTTGGTTTCACCATCGGACGGTAGATAGGTGGCCTGCATGTTATGCTCCATGTTACACACTCATCAAGGAAAATTGTTTGGTGCGTCCAAGCCCGCACCTGCACCTGTTATTATGCGGGCTTGGAGATCTACACAGTCCACCAATCTCCCGAGCAGAACAACATGTTAGTTCCACCATCGGATGGTAGATAGGTGGCATGCATATTATGCTCCATGTTACACACTCATCAATGTCGGAAGGAAAATTATTATGCGGGCTTGGAGATCTACACAGTCCACCAAAATCAAGTCACATAAATAACAACCCTCTAAAGATAAAGTAAAATCAACCGTTCAAATAATTTCTCCAAAACATATCATTTGTTGTTTTTAAAATTTATTTGTTTTTACAATTAATAATGGCTATATTATATATTTTTTAAAAATTAAAATCAAATTTTATTTCAAAAATAAATTATCAAGGGGTGGATATTTCGTGGACTCATAAAAACCGTGTCCATATCGGGAATATATACCACGAGACCATTTATTTTTGATATCCTGTCAAGTAAATTTGAATTAGAAAAGACTCACGAAATTAAAAAAATTATTTGAGCATTGTGCAAAGTCTTAGCCATTTAAATTTGCATTTGACGGCTGGGAGTTGGTGTGACCTCAATGTGTCAAAAGGAGATGGTCTCATCTTCCAGTTTCTCAAACATCTCTTCTCCGTGCCATAACGGTGGCCATAATTGCTGCCATCAAAATTTAGAGAGAGAAACAAAGAAAGGGGGCATATGCGGAATAGAAAGGGAGAGACTCCCGACGTTTTAGAGAGAGAGAGGACGCAGCTGCTGTTGACAGTTTAGGGGAGCAAGCGTAGAGTGATGAAAACTTTTGCTTTGCCAACTTCTATCTACCCCCGAATTAATGGCGCTCTCTTTCTTTCTAGGCACCAAAAAGGACAACAATTCCTTCTTTCTCGCTCTGCACGCTTCCTTTCTCCCTCTCCTACTTTACTTTGCCGAGTATCTGCTTCAGAGAGGCCCACGCTTGCTGCTTATCTCTTTTCTCCAATGGCCATGGCACCTCAGGTATGCTCTGTCTATACTCTGCATATTCCAATACTGATTGGTATTGTTTTGTGTTTGTGTCCTATATCTGTAGTTTTTTTTTTTTTTTGGGTTTTTTTTCTTTTCTTTTCTTTTCTTAGGGTGTTTTGATGCAACCATGGAGATTCTAGTAGTGGTGTTTGGTAAAATAGATTGAAACCCATGATAGGATTTTGGTTGTGGGTTGATGAAAATCACGAAAACCCATATCGGCTACTATGCAAATTCTGGTAATGGGTTGATGAAAGTGATGGAAACATGTTTCTCATGGGTTTCCAATCTGGTACTCTTTACTTTACTCCAGATAAAGTTTAGAAACCCAGTCTCCAGGTTGAAAATTTGAAGTTAATTTCTCCTTTGGAAAAAAATTAATTGTTTTCGATGGGCATGGGATGCTACACTCTTCTGCATTAGCAATGGGGAAAGCGTGAGAAGATAGAAAATTAAATAGCAAAAGAAAACGAGAGATAAAGATAGATGATGCAAGAGACTGAAGAATTAGAGGATGTCCTTTCATTGTGATTGATGCATGATTATATAGGAGAGACCCCATGGTTTTACGGCTCACCACAAGGTTTCCATAGCAAGTACTTTCCTATATGTTTCATGAATAAAATGATAATCTAGTTCCATAGCATCTACTTGACACACATATCTCACCATCTTCAACTTGTTCATGAATAAAGTGATAATCTAGTTCAATGTGTTTTGTTCTTGCATAGAAAACAGGATTAGAGGAGGGATTTATTTCACTTTTATTATGACAATATAACTTAGGTTCACCAACAAGAATTCCGAAATTTTCAAGTAGATGTCTAAACTTTAAACCATGAAAACATAACCATTGTGGGACTGCCGACCCCCCCCCCCCCTCCTCCCTTCCTCCCTCCCAAAAGAAAAGAAAATAACCAAAAGAAAAAAAAGGAATTTTTTTTTTTTTTTTTTTCAGAGATTAGCAATCCAGGAAAAAACTACACAAATAACCACTTACTGATCATCTATTGCCTGGAATTCCTGCCCAATCAGCATCGTGTAGGGTTCCTAATTAAATTTTGCTTCTAGATCTTTGGAATAAAATTGCGCATCATAAATGGTTCCCTTAATTTAACCTAAGAATTCATTATGCAGCTTTGAACTGAGCTTGACAATGAGCATGCATGAATTTGCAAACTTGATTTACAGCAAAAGTAATGTCGGGTTGAGTAAAAGTCAATTACTAAGGCCTCCAACCTTGCTTCTATATCTTAGGGGATCTTTAATGAGAACCCCTTCATTTGCCTTTCATCTCTTTTCCATTTCTGCAGGACTAGATATTGGTTTGCAGGACTTCATTTCAAACTTAGACAAGAGTTCCAAAGCATATTTTTGTTGTGTCAACTTGATGCCAATTGATGTTCTTTCAACTTTTAATTCCAAGAAAATATATGACCCCTCTGTGATCTTTCATTTCAAAATTCAGACTTAGTGTACCCTCCAAGTCTTGATCTCTTTCAAATTGTTTTGATAATGAAGACATCATCAACATATAAAAGAACATTTTCACTTCCTTGATCAGTCTTCTTTGTAAATGAAGAAATATAAGCAATGCATCTCTTGAAGCCCTGTCACCTGATACCTTCACTAAATCTATCAAACCATACACTAAATGCCTCTTTTGGCCCATCTATAGCCCTTTTAAATTTGCATGCAAAATCATACTTCATTGCCTTGTTATAACCAAGTGGTTGTTCCATATATCTTCTTCATTCAATTCTCCATGGAGGAAATCATGTTTTACATCTATTTGACAAAGTTTCCATTTCATAGAAATTAGCCAATGCAATATTAAATCTTACTTGGTGACTCGGGCTTGGACTCCGCCAAGTCGCTCAGACCCGGCACTGTACGTATTCCTGTTAAAAAACCCTAGGACTCACCCTAGTTCCATCAGGTTAGGACCCTACTATGTTATTTTTTAGAGACTTGACCTAGTCTTGGCAAGACTCGGTCTAGTAGGACCACAAACTTGGATTCATACCCCTACAGTCTTGACCTAAGTTCGAGTTTTAAATACTGGTCTTATTATTCTAATTTTTACACATATTACGGGCGACGTAGAAGGCATCTCCAATTTTCCCCATGCAAAATTTAGAATTACTATTGCTCAACTTTTATTTTGCCCCTGACCATCAAATGAGATGTGCATAGCGCGTCCCCTTCTCTTGAAGCAAGAGGCAGCTCTAGTTCGTTCTGTGCTTCAAACAATTTAGTATTCTCCATATTACCATGTCTCTAGCGTCAATAATTTTATATTAGGAACCTATCGGGCTAAAAGTCTCATGTAAGCATTGCCTTAAAGCTGTCCATATCCTTTTGCTACTGATGTTGTATGCCTTTCTTTCAATGGTTCTATTTGATTTGCACTTCATTTTTTTTTTGAAGGTCTGTACTTCCTATGCCCATTTGGATCTCACTATACTTTTATTTCAAGGTCTAGTAACAATCTCAGATCTATTATTATTATTATTATTATTATTACTATTACTATTCTTATCATTATTATTATTATTATTATTATTATTATTATTATTATTGTGATTATTATTATTTAATGGTACAAAGCTACAATTTCATCGTTTTGTAGCTGGTATCCATCTCTCATCAGCCTTGGCTCCTTCAAAGAAAACCAAAATTTCACCTTAACAACATTGGCTAAAAGTAAAACCAATTTTTCACCTTAACAACATTGGCTAAAATTAATTGATGACCCTTAAAAATTTTGTGTTAGAGCCATTGATCAGCAGGATGCTTAACACTTGGAATTTTCAAACGAATGGATTTTCTTGCAATAGGTGAAGTATTGTACTCATGAAGAGAAAGATGTTGTGCACCTGTAGATTGCAGTAGGATTAATTCTATATTTGAGGCCAATGTTGGTGATGTGAAGGGAACTTCATCATGAATCGTTAATTGGATCAGTTGAACCATTGTGTGGTATATGAATTTGCTGCTCTAGACTCATATTGTAGACACATTATCTTTAGAGGATAGAACAATCTTCGACGATGATTCCCTCTCTGAGTCGTAGTAGACGATGAATGAGCTCCATGAAAATGCATCTTATCAATAGTAAGATGGCAAGATGCATGAACTCTCTTGGTTCGAAGGGACTAACAATGAGCTCTTATGTTCATTATTGTAGCCAACCATGAGATGTTCTTCCACAGTGGGAGATAACTTGGGTCTATTAATTTTTAACAATATGGACATAAAAATAACATAAGAATAATCGGGTTCTTGTTCTGTAAGCATTAAGCAATAAGCTGTAAGCAATTCACATGCCGAGAATGGTTATATGTAACTTATTAATAACATGTGTTGATGTGTGAAAAACTTTTGTCCATAGATGTGTCGGAACACCACTATGAAAGAGCATTGATATGCCAGACTTAGTGACATGTCAATACTTTCCATCGACAACACCATTTGAGCCTACGTGTTTGGACATGAGAATTGTTGCTTAAGAGGTGAATTCACCTCCCCCGTCACCTCTCAGTTTTCTATTACTTTTTCCATAATTCATTTCGATGAAGCTCTTAACTGCTGAAACTTTGAGAAAACCTCATATTTTCGCTTAAGGAAATAAATCCATATAAATGTAGTGTACTCGTTCTCATAAATCACATAATATTGTGAACCAGAAGGAGAGGAAACATGTGTGACCCCGAATTTCAAAATGTATAAGGTCGAGATGCCTAGCTTATGTCCAGATTCCTTTTCCCTTGGGCATGGCACTACCCTTGAGGGTTTTATGCAGGGGTCATTCTCTTGTTGAGTTCAGGGAGAAGCTTAGGGATGATGTTTGTAGGTCAGGAAGAGTATCATGGTATATTGTGTACGGCTGTAGGCTCGTGAGAATGAGGGCTAAATCCTCAACAAATTTCCGCGCGGCATGTACATATGATAACCACATTTTGGGAAGCAACCCTTTAGAGGGACGCGTGTACATGTGCATAGAGAGAATCCCGGATGCAAATCAAGAGATGGACATTTCTAATTTTTATTTTTATTTTCATTTTCATAGATTCAAGATGATCGCACTACATTATTTGGAGCAAGCAGATCGGGAATAGAGGAGGCAACATTAGAGGGAATTTATCTATCTTTTCTTTTTTTTTAATTCTTTATTGCCTTTTTGTTTTTGTTTTTTTTAAAAAGAAGGTATGAGTTTGTTTAAATCTTGAAAGAGTCCATTTTTTTTGTAGGAAGGATAAGTCCCTTTTTTTTTGTGTGAGTTGTTTTTGGCAGGAAGGGTTATCTTTCAGAAATATCTTTTAGAGGAGGAATGGAGTTTGTGTTAAGATAGGAAGTTTATCTTTTGGTGAGGGACATAGTAGGAATAGAGTTATAGTTTATCTTTCTAAAAGGCAAGAGTAGTGAATAAAAAGGGGTATGCACATTGTAATGGGATGGTTTTT